ATCCAAGTTACCCAGGAGCTTGCTCTTCCTGAGACCATCATCTGTGAACTATCCTTAAATATCACATTTTGATTCTTACTATGTTACAGAGCACCTGATTATGACATCGAACATGTAAACAAGCTAAATACACTACTAACATGGGCAGCATCCTGCCCATACGTTTTTATCTTTCTTGGTGACTTCAATCTACCTCATATTGACTGGACCCTAAACTAATGTACAACTGAACCCATACACGCAACCTTCTACAATGCTGTTACAAATCTGAGACTGGAACAACTAGTAACCAACAACACTAGACTAAACAACTGCCTCGATCTCATCTTCTGCAATAGTTTGAATTTAATTTACGGAATACAAACTAAAGAACCCTTTTCCAGCAGTGACCACAATATGACTGACTTTTGTCTCAACATACGCCCACACAAAAATAATCACAATGACGTAATCCCCAATTATAACTTCAAAAAAGGCAACTATGATCTTGATGAATGTATCTTTTCTTTCATATACACTGAGAGCATTTGCACCAAGACAAATTCCTTGTGTGTCCAATCTCACTTGGCCAATAAAGAATTGAATTCTATTCTATTCTTATTTATTTATTTACTTGCTTACTTACTTAGAGAGTGGAATTAACATGAGTCCCACTGGAAAAGAATCAAATTCCTTGCTAGACTTATTCAAAAACATTGCTCTTAGTGCACTTAATTCAGTTAAGGTTTCAGCAGAGATGGTCTTCAGCCGGTTCTTCTGGAGAACCGGGAGCGGAACTTTTGAGTCGTTGGGAGAACCGGCCAATCCTGCCTCTGATTGGCCCCGCCAACCCCATCTCTTCTCTGTCTCCCATTGAATCCCAGCTGATCGGCTGGGTCTTCTTTGGTTGCCCTGCACAGGAGAACGGAGCTGGAAAGCAGGTTAAGTGGGGTGGGGAGGGAATGGGATTTTGCAGTATATCCTTCCCCTGTCATGCCCACCAAGCCACGCCCACCAAGCCATGCCCACAGAACCAGTAGTAAAAAAACAATTGCCTCCCCCCCCACTGGATTTTAGGGATGCATTTAACCACAGGACACAGTTTCTGATCAGATCCTTTGCTGGGCTGGAGCATCTTATGGGTGGTGCCAGAGGTAAAAAAAAATCTGAGAAAAAAACCACGAGCAAAGAAACCTGGAAAAATAGGACGGTGCCAAAGACCCACCTGGAAGCAGGACAGACGCCGCTGAAGACTCTGAACGGAGCAGCATCGATTCTAGACCAAACGAGCAGAGCCCCAAGCAACGAGGCCACAGCTGAAGAGAAGCGGGATGGCACGATAGAAGAAGAAAAAGACAGACAAGGGATTTGGTTGGAAAACTTTCCCTCTGCACCCAGTCTCTGGGCTCTGATCCATCTTCTCCACACCTCTCAGGCTTCCCGATCAATCACTTGGCCCGCAGCCTGGTGAAGATGAAAGGGGAGTGTGTGTGTGTGTGTGTGTGTGTGTGCGTGTGATTAAACACAATCTTGCCTGATTGCAATCAATAAAGCCAGGGGGATTAACAAAGAATTCCTTGGGTCACGGGGCATGATTAACTTGTCCAAACAAGATCCCACAAATGTTGGCTTCTTTAAAACAGTTGTCTGTGTGTTTCCCACAAAGTACAGATAATCCTCCACTTAAAGACCACAGTGGAGCCCAACATTTCTGATGATGTTAAGCGAGACATGGGTTAACTGAGCTTTGCCCCATTTTACGGCCTTCCTCGCCGCTGTTGTTAAGCAGATCACTGCAGCGGTTAAGCTACTGACACGGTGGTTAAGTGGATCCAGCTTCTCCATCGATGTCTCTTGTCTGAAGGTCCCAAAAAGGGATTGCGTGATCCTCGAACGCTGCAACAGTCAAAAATGTGAGACAGTTTCCAAGCGTCTGAATTGTGATCCTGGGGATTCTGCAATGGCTGTAAGCAACTTGGAACAGTTGCTAAATGAACTTGTCAGTTTTGGAAGCCATCTTAGCACCAGTCACTCCTACACTGCCACCTTCTTCAGCCTGGGACAATGGGAGGGGGGAATTTCTTGGAGTGTATGTGGTTAGACATAGCAACATTCTTTTTCTAACTCAAGGTCATGTTATTTCTGCACCTGGCTGAGGGAACGTCTTAAGTTGGGATGGATGGTGATTGGGGCATGCGATGTGACGATGGGTGCAGGGGGTGGATTTGTAATTTTTTACTTATTGAAGGAAACCCAGAACTTTCAGATTTGGGATTTCCCAGATGTGCCAGTTTACTACCCAAATAAAACAGAACTTTGGAGAGGATGTCTGTTTCAGAGTTATTTGTTGGAGTGGAGGTTTCCTGGAATGCTGACAGAACTGTTGTAAGTTGAGGGCTACGTGTACCCACTAACCCCTCAAACCCTGGACATAAATTGTTTCAACTTCTACCCTCAAAACGATGCTATGGGGCACTGCACACCAGAACAACTAGACACAAGGACAGTTTTCCCCCCATGCCATCACTCTGCTAAACAAATAATTCCCTCAACAATGTCAAACTATTTACTAAGTCTGCATTACTACAGTATTATTCTACTCAGTCTTCCTATTACCTATATCCTTTCTACTTTTGACTATAACTTTGTTGCTTATATCTTTACAATTTATATTGTTGTATTTATTTTCCTAGTATGATTTTGATTGCTTATCTAGTATCCTATGACTATCGCTAAGTGTTGTATGTTATGATTCAGGATGAATGGTTTTTCTATGTACACTGAGAGCTTATGCCCCGAAGACAAATTCCTTGTGTGTCCAATCACACTTGGCCAATAAAGAATTTTATTCTATTTCTATTTCTACTTCTACTTCTACTTCTACTTCTTATTCTATTCCTATTCCTATTCCTATTCCTATTCCTATTCTGTTCTGTTCTGTTCTGTCCTGCCCTATCCTATCCTATCCTATCCTATCCTATCCTATCCTATCCTATCCTATCCATTCCTATTCCTATTTCTATTTTTATCCTATCCTATCTCTACTCTACCCTACCCTACCCTATCCCATCCTCTATTCTATTTCATTCCATTCCATGCCATGCCATGCCATGCCGTGCCATCCTATCCTATCCTATCCTATCCCTATCTCTACTCTTCCCTACCCTACCCTACCCTATCCCCTATTCAATTCCATTCCTATTCCTATTCTACTGTATTCTACCCTACCCTACCCTACCCTACTCTACTCTACTCCATTCCATTCCATTCCATTCTTGACCAAGGCGATGTCTCCAGCCATCTCATGATGCTCATTGCTGAGCTATGGAGCCACGGAGCACTGCAGGCAGGGACAGCCAGTAAGATGTGTCTCATGAGTAGCGATTGACCAAGAGACGTAACACAAGGGACACAAGGGACACACTCTGTGGCTCCAAAAGTGCTGTGCAAGAAGGAACTTTATTGCTTCCCAGGGGTCCTTTCCCCTTCCAGACCCTCTTGTGGACAAAAGAAAAGCTTGCTTAGAATAATCACATGGACCCTGCAAACAAGTACAGAAGGAGAGTTAGGGAACTAAAGGCATCAGTTCGGCAATAAGTAAATAAATAAACAAAGGTAGCAGGCCCAGGTGGGCCTGGTGGAGAAAGGGGAGGGGGGGCAACACCCACTGTGAGAGTTCCTATGGCACCATAAAAGATGAAACACATTCATTTCCGTGGTTAGGCCGGTGGCTTGCCATGCTGCAGCACTAGGTCCATGCAATGTGTGGGGCACAGCAAAGAGGAGGACCGAGTGGGCTGCAGAATACGGACGAACAAGTCCTGGTTTCCCCCCCCCCCCCCCCCCGGAGGCAAAACAAACAAAAACACGTTTCAAATAACCCTGGACAAGTTCCAGAATGTTGGACAAGGACAGGCATGCCTACGAAAGCAGTTCAACCTTTTTTTTTTTTTAAAGTGCAACAGGTTCTGTGTATGCAATCTCTGCTTGCAGAAACTCCTAGACAATCCCTTGGGAGTGCAACATGGACTCTGGCGTGGCTCCAACTCCGAGTGAGAAGGGCGGTGATCGAAGGACTAATCCAAAGTCATGACCAATGGAGTCCGGGAGTTGGTGATCCGGATCCCAAATGGTGTCCAAACAAGATGATGCTCTCCTCCCCATTTGATTCTGCCATGGATTGTCACAAAGCCGCATGATGAGGCAGCGGTGCGCGGCTGTTTCTTCTCCTTGTTGGTTCAACAGATGCTCAAAAAGCTTTTTTCGAAATGCTTAGAGTCTGGTACTGTGGTTGCGGTATTCGTTGTTCCTCTTCTCCTCCTTGTTGGAGCAGCCTCCTCGTTGGGCTTCATGGTTGGGCTCTGCTGAAGAGCAAGGCTGGGCCAGATGATCCCAGTAGAAGTTCAGCGTCGATTGCTCCTGGTTCTCCATCTCCTTCAGGTCGTAGATCTCTCGCGCGCTCAGCCGTGGCGTCTGCACCTCAAAAGTCCTCTCAAATTTGGTGTAATCTACTTGGAAGGCACCTTTTTCCAGGGTCATGCAGGACTCAAAACGATGGCCCCAGAGGATTTCATTCTCGATGTATGATGTCCTGGCTTGACACGTCATTCCTAAAAGAAGGGAATGTGAAAAGACAAGACACAGTGGGAGGTATCGAACGAATTTAACATTCGTGGTGTAGGAGCCCGAGGGAGGAGGAGTCAAACGTGTTATCAGTCTGGCATCCCTTTGCACCCACAAAGGATCTAATTCCAGCCCACCTTGAATTCCATTGACTCTTATTTACCACCAATTCGTTCTGAATGTTAGTAGTTCAGTAGCTTAAGCTTGCAAAGAACCCTTTATATGCATTTGAACTGCCTGGATCTTCTGATTTCCTTGAGGTTTGACAGATAGTTAACGTTAATAGGCTTCCCTTTGTGAACTAATAACTCACATTCTGCTCAGAAATTTTAATGAATCCAGTACAGTGCTACAGCCCCTCACCTCCTGTTGAGTTTCCAAACACAATTCAAACTGTTGCTGCTTATATTTAAAGTCTCCTCCTCCCTCTCATCCTGGCTAAACACTCCCATGCTGGGGAAAATCCCCACTCTCCAAAGGGTGCTTTGTTTGGTCTGCACTGAGCATGTTAGAAAAAAAACAACAACCAGGTACTTGTGGGTTCCGCAATGCCCTCCAGATAAAGAAATCTTGGCTTAGTACAAAATGTAACATCTGCGTAAAGGGTGTGTGTGTGTGTGTGGAGGCAACTGTATTATGCACGGATTGTGTGCAACGCTGAATAAAATGCGGAATTAAGAAATGGCACCCGAGTTGCACCTAAAATCAACGTGGACTCTGGAAAGAGTGCAGAGAAGAGCAACCAAAATGATGAGGGGACTGGAGCTAAAACATCAAGTACGGTTGCTGGAATTGGGTATGTCTAGTTTGATGAAAAGAAGGACTAGGGATGACACAATCACAGTGTTCCAATGTCTTGGGGGCTGCCCCAAAGAAGAGGGAGTCAAGCTATTTTTCCAAAGCACCAGAGGGCAGGACAAGAAGCAACGGATGGAAACTAACCAAGGAGAGAAGCAACCTAGAACTCAGGAGACATTTCCTGACAGGGAGAGCAATTAGTCAGTGGAGCGACTTGCCTTCAGAAGTTGTGGATGCTCCAACACTGGAAGTTTTAAAGAAGAGATTGGATAACCACTTGCCTGAAGTGGTGTAGAGTTTAATTCTGTTATTCCGTTCTGTTATTCAACATCTGGATTCCCTGAGGTTACAAGCAGTGTGAAGGCAGCTCTGAAACTTTAGAAATGCGATAGGCACGATAGGCTCCCGAATTCCACGCCACGCCCGAGGCTACAGTCTACGGAGTCTCCCCTACGGGAGGCTGCTGTGTGGCACACTTACCTGTGGCTTCCACAATGCCTTCCAGGATGATGATGACTTCAAACTGCTCCCTCTTCAGCGCCTCGGCAGACATCTCCCAGAAAGGGCTGACCTCATTGATGATGTGGCAGATGATCTGCGGCTCCACCAGGAAGAGATGGTCCTCCCCTGTGCCGTAGCCCAGGTTCAGTTCGGACTGGTCAAGCGGGATGAACTCCCCTTCCTTGGTTTGCCTGGATTTGATGAGTTTGGCCCTTATTTTCGCATCCACCATGTGGCTGTCTCGAAGGTCTCCGATGCGGAACATGAGACAGAGCTTCTCGTCCCGGCTGGAAATGACGCACTTCTTGCTGAAGATTAAGGTCTGGGCACGCTTCTTGGGCCTGGAGATCTTGACGAACATGCATCCCACCATGAGGGCATCGATCATGGAGCCGATGATGGACTGGGCCATCAGCAGGAGGACTCCCTCCGAGCAGTTGGCGGTCACAATGCGGGAGCCGTAGCCGATGGTCCGTTGACTTTCCACCGAGAAGAGCAAGGCGGAGATGAAGTTGTCGATGTTCTCAATGCAAGCCTTCCACTCGGTGTCCCCGATGTGGTTGACGTCGTCTCGTATCCAGGCATCCAGGTAATACATGATGCCAAAGAGCACCCAGGTGATGATGTAGCACATGCTGAAGATGAAGAGGAACCAGCGGTACTTGAGGTCCACGATGGTGGTGAAGATGTCCGAGAGGAACCTCTTCTTCTCCTGAATGTTGCCCAGGTTGACCTTGCACTTCCCCACTTTGGTCACATAGCGTTGCCTCTGGTGCTTATTCCTGCCCACGAACTGCCGTTCGTCTTCGATGAGTTTGCAGAGTTTGCTCTGCCTTTTCTCCGAGGCGGGCATGGAGATGACGCTGCGGGTGAGGGTTTTGCTCCGGGAAGAGTTGATGATGTTGGGCACGCTGAAAGCATGCTGGGGGTAGAGCTGAGCGTTGAACTCCCGCAGGAGAGAAGGGGGCAGGGGGTCGGTCCGGGAGGGCCAGCAATATTTAGGCAACTTGTCTGTGCTGTTGGAGGAAGGGGGCTGGTGTTTGGGAGGCCCAACCTCGCTGAAGCTGGCCTGTTCCACCATGCTGAGTCTTTTCTGCAGAAGGACCGACCGGACATTGGGGACCTGAGAACTGCAAGGTACCGAGTGGTAATTGCAAGACACGGCACTTCGGTTTGTGCTCATGGTTGTGGCTTGCTGGCAGGTCTTGTCTAACGGTATTGTCATTTCAGGCTGGGGGGGAAAAAAACCCACAAAGGACAGGTAGACCTCAAGTTACGACCACAATTCTGCCCCAAATTATTTTCTGTTGCTAAGCGAGACATAGGTGCAATTTTCCCCCCCCCTTTTCAACCTTTCTTGCCACAGTTGTTAAGTTAGCAACATGATTATTAAGCGAATCTGTAAATCGCATGACCATGGGGATGCTGAAATAGTCATAAGTGAAAAAATGGTCATGTTACTTTTTTCCAGTGCCGTTGTAACTTTGAACAATCACTAAATGAACCATTATAATTCAAGGACTACCGTAAACTTAATCTCCCTAGGCTATTGGAGAAGGTACACCTGATGTTTCATAGTAGTTTATTAAAGCCGTTTGTTGATTCTTCATTGAGGCCAGCAGAACGTGTAGCTCCAAAGCCTTTGTTCATTGCAGGACATGAACATTATGAGGTTAAGAAAATTTTGGATTCTAGGATTTTCAGGGGGAAGTTACAATAATTAATCTATTGGAAAGGCTATCCAATTTCACAAGCGACTTGGGTAAATAGCTGGAAAGTAAATGCTGATAGATTGGTGATTTATTACATCATGCAATGTTGAATTACTTCTATTGGAGAATGTGACTTTTTGGGGTTGTATTTCACTACAAGCCCCCAAGCGACTTGATTTCCTGCTCCAGACTGATTGGGCTACCCTGAAAGCTTTTGGCCAAAGCATAAATCCTTGTTTTTTTTTAAGTTTAAGAAAAATGGTCCATTTCCCCCTTGTTGACTAAGTCTCGGTCAAATACCTGAACTTTTTCTGCAGTTTCAACAACTTTTAAGATGGGTGGATATCAACGCCCAGAATTCCCCAGCCAGGATGAGAGGTGTGAAGTCTACACATGTTAAAGTTGCCAAAAACTCATAAATGCATAAATGCAATCAGATCCAATTCCAACCTGCCTAAATCGGAATATAATAATTGAATTAGACTACTACCTCACATCTTCTCTAAGGTTACTTTTAGAGTGACAATGCTGGCTGGGGAATTCTGGGAGTTGAAGTCCAGAAGTTTCAGAGGCACCAATGGTTGGAGATTCCTGATCCAGAATCACCCTGGAGACCCTTCGGTGAAAGGGAACGGCATCAAGAGGCCCCTAGCGACATTATTCAGCGCACCTACCTTCAGAGATGAGGTCCCATGACTTCCTGTGTCCGTGGGAGGCCGTGGAAGATGGGCCAACATGTACTTCACGGTGGGGCTCTTAGCTGGGGGGATGGAATTCCGGCGGATCCTCGATTCATTGTATTTCAGAGGCTCATGTCCGACGTTGTTGTAGATGTAGAGGTTGTTTTCGAGTTGCAATTCTATGTTGCTCCTACAATTAGGAAGCATCATGGCTACCTCAGGCCAAAAGGTAGACTAATCCCAAACATCGTGTTTCCTCCAAGGAGGGAGCCTTTCAAAGAAGATCGGAAAAGAATAAGCAATGGTTTGGGAGGCAATGGTTTCGATACGGGTGCTTTGCTACGAAACTATGTGGTCGGGCTTAGTTTTGGGGGGAGGAAAATTAGGGGTAAAAAAATCTGCCTCTGCTTACCAGTATCCATCAGTATTCATCTGGCTAGTATCCTGGCAGTGTGTGAGAGAGTTGAGGGCTGTTTGGAAACTGAAACAGTATTTGGCATGTGAGCAAAAAGGAGACAGCAAGGAGCCTGGGAGTGGCTTAGCTCAACAAAAGCCGCTTGGTGCTGGGAAACTGCAACTCATCTCCTCTGCTTGTGTTTTGCCTTTGGAAGAGATTTATTTTCAGGTGGGGAGGGGGAGTAGAACTCCTTAGCATCAGAGCATGTTAATAATAATAATATAGGAAATACTAATGCTCTGATGGTCTTTCTTAGTGAGCCCCTAGAAGCCAAGAGGAACATATGGGCCAAATTTCAAGTTTATAGGCTTTACGGTTCTGGAGATTTTGTGATGATGCCTATATTTCGCTTTTATATACATATATATGAAATCCCTGTTGTGAACATGTTTGACCAGCGCCTTTCTAAACTGTGAGATTTTGTGATGATGATGTGTGAGGGGTATTTCACTTTTATATATATAGATTCAAGTTCACTCTCTTTTTCAAGCACCACAAAATTGTCTTACTAGTTTTTGAATCAAGGTTTATGATTCTTTAACTCAGATATCAGATTTAAAACCATTCAAACATTTCAGGGTTCGATTTTATTGATTATATAGGTTGATTACGGAGAAAGTGACAAGGATATAAAACAAACCCGAGATGAGAACTAAGAACCTACTGTTAAGTAAATGTAGCTTTTAAATGGTCAGCATAAATTTGATTATTTAAAAAAAAAAAATTCGGTTCCAACTCTCTTATCAATGCCCCAAATGGTAGTTGAGGGATGTGAAACTTTCACATCTGCAAAAGCTATACTGAGTTTTGAGGTCTTCCTGGTAATTAGGACATTTCTGTCATACACGTGTCCAATTTTGACAACTATTGTGGAATGATGGATTTGTAGGGCCTCAGCCACTACGTACAATAATTAAGTAGTGCATCAACATCTCGAGGAATACTGGTTCCTCAGGCTGGACCTGTTGAACTATCAAGAGCATCCATATGGATGAACAAATAAGAAAGCATTGTTACCCTACTGCTGTAGATGGTAGAGAAGAAAGTTAAGAGTTGAATGAAATGGACTTGGAGATCAACACACAAATACACCCTTTGTAAGCCCACAGCATCTACAAGCCCGAAACCCCAATTTTATCCCAGAAACACCATCTCAAATAAGAGCATTAAATACTCATCTTTTGAGGCAGACTAGGCTGTCAATCCAGATAACTGTCCACTTACCTACAGAGCAAGAAGTTAGCCCTGCATAGGACTGTCTAAATAGGTTGCCTATTTCTGTGCCTACCTCTCTGGGGTAGCAGGGATTCCCCCCCCCCCCAGACCAAAAGAGACTAGATCCTAAGCAGTCAAAAATCTGGGAAGAACGTCAGGTTTCCCTCCCTGGTTTTTTTAACTGATCATTTGCTACAGTTTGGCTGTGCGTGGATGCCATGTGTTCAAAGTTGTATCAGACTCTGGAAGGGTTCAAATAATGCACTTAAAATCTGGCTGTTTGGTCGCATTGGGTGAGAGCATGGGAAGATTGATTTTATATAACATCCGCTGGCATTTTATTGAGTTGTGTACTCCGTTTGTCCAGCCGCCCATCTCAAGCCGGTGACAAGTGAGTGACAGTGAAGAGCAGATGGCAAAACTAATTTCAGGCCGGAAGAGCAGTTCACAGATGGCCAAGGCAAGAGATTCTCGTCTCTCTTCCTCTGGATTTAGAGCCCTCTGGGCACATGCCAGGTGAAGAAGAGGGGCCAGGATGTCTCTTCATGAGGGAACGGAGTCATCCAGCCCTCAGGCAGACACACAAATCTCTATTTTTTGCTCCTTTTTGCTTTGCGTATCCTACCATCCTTTGGAATTGTTTGGGGCGAGAGCTTTCTTGGGCTTAACCTCTGGGTGAGGACACCGCCCCCTCCAAAAAAACCTGCAAAATAAAACAACTTGAGAATAGGAAATAACAGATTGCAGGTTTGTGAATGCCAGCTGCAGGAGCTGGGACGATACGGCTGCTTTGGCTACACGCAAGGAGCCGTATCATACCGAGGACATTGGAGTTTGGAAGACCCTGGGATGATGCCCAGCCTAGCCTTCCCCATCACAGGTGGCCTCCACTGTGTTGGGACAGCAATAACAGTAGCGTGTTCACAGCCTCAACTCGCTGTCACAGCTTCAACCTATCTACCATGGACCTCCTCACCCCATTCCTAAGAGGTTCTTAAATGGGGCGTGCATAAGTGCACCAGCGTGCCTACTGTCCCCGTCTCACTGTCTCCATTTATCTGTATTTCCTCCCTTTGTTCTTCTTTATGTTCATACCTATACTTGTTATCTTGTAGATGTTTGACAAACAAACAAACTCCCAGCCAAGCGAATTCCGGGAATGATCACACCCACCAAGTCAGGGGGCTTCAGATGGGGCAGAGCTGGCAACAACCCCCCCCCCCCCCAAGGGAGCTCTGAATTTCACACGAGCTGAAGTTTTAGGAAATGCCTCAAGGACAACATGGACGAAAGTGGAGGACAATGGCGGGAACGGCCATTTTGGGGCTGAGGAGGAGGCAGCCTTGGAGGAGTCAAAGCTCGGCTTCCTGAGGTATCCCCAACCAACGAGTAACTGTCTTTACTCGGGGGGGGGGGAGTAAATAAAGATCCTGGGGGAGGGGTAAATGGGGGAGTGGTGGAGACCCTCATCCTCCTTCCTGACTAAAGCAACTAAAGCAGTGGTTCCGAACCTTTTTTTCACCCCGCACCCCTAAAGAAATTTCACTCGAACCTCGCACCCCCTGAAATTTAGACTTTAGGAACTACTGAACGCGTTAAATATATGGTAGGATTGAATCTTTTCAGCTATGTATGTGACGGCCACTAAATAACGATACTTAACTCTAAAATGAAAACAAAGTTAATCCATTGCATAATAAATAAAAATGCCAACATATAGCCAATATCCTATTAATTACCTGGACTTTTCTCGCACCCCCTGGAATATCGTGCGAGCACCCCAGGTTGGGAACCCCTGAACTAAAGGATCCCCTGCCACAACTACACGGAATTGCCAGGGGAACCCTAGCCTGGATGAATCCCTCTTTGGAAGAAGGAAGGACCCAAAGAATAGAATTCTTAATTGGCCAAGGATGGCTGGACACACAAGGCATTTGTCTCCTGTGCTATAAGCTCTCAGTGTACGGAAAAGACATAAGAGATAAATCACGATCATAGTTGTCATAAAAACATTCATCATGAAAAGAGATCTCTTTAGCCCAAATTGGTTCTAAATTGAAAGGGAGTGGGAAGCAAGATGGCATGTATTAATTTACACGCCGAAGAACGGCCACTTCAGTCCATAATCTCTATTCTAGACATGGCTGGCGTTGAATGGTGCACCTACCTCATATTTGCTGCAGGACGGGATTTGAAGGCCAGGTCAGGGAGCTCCGAAGTGACGGGCAGGCCTCTTGTCCTGCAGAAAACTGTGCTGTTGGTTTTCCTTGGAGACTCCTGAGCCCTCCAGCTGGTCTCAAGGGCAGCGTTTCAACTTAAGCTGCATCCCTCTCCCTGAAAGGTTTCCATCCATCCCAGAAGGGTGAGCCATCTCGGTTTCCCCTTCGAAGCCTTCAACATTCACCGAAGTGAGGAAGGGAGCCAGAAAACCGCCTTTCAATTCAGCCTTACAAGGAGAAGGTCATCAGTTAATCTGCTTCAATGACATGCAGAATTATCTCAAGATGATTTAATCAGAGAGACGGGGTGAGGAGGAGGAGGAGGAGGAGGAAGAGGAAGAGGAGGAGGAGGAGGAGGAGGAGAAGGAATGCTGGGTGGGAGAAGCGAATGCCCACAGGGTTAATCTGCCAACACTTCCATCCTGGCAAGAAACATCCATGGGAAGAAGAACCCACTTCTGCCAAGGCTTTACGAGAGACGTTGACGTCTGTGGGTCACAGAAAAATGCAAAGTCTCCATGAGAATGACTGCCTACAGGAAACACTGGGAATATTATTATTATTATTGTTATTATCATTATCATTATCATTATTATTATTAATAATAATATTAATAATAATATTAATAATAATATTAATAATAATATTAATAATAATATTAATAATATTAATATATACAAGGAAAACTCGAGAGGAAAACTGGATTTCACCCTGAGTTTCGCCTTCTCCACCTAAAATATTCCTGGAAAACTCCTGTGGGGAGATTAAAAGTCTAATTTTACACCTACACCTACCTATAAAGGCAATTAAGGAAACGCACACCCAGGCAAGGCTAGGCAGAAGAAAAACCAGTTAACCGAAATGCTTCAGCTTAATCCCCAAGTGGAGTTCCAGGGAGAACGTTTGAATGACAAAACCATGAAGTGGCGAAAACCTTGGGTGAAAGAGACAGCAGGCTGAGAAGTCCCACGGGGCTCCCCGTGGCTTTGTTTCTCACCCAGGACTGTTTCACAACTTCTCGCAGGCTTTTTAAGTGAGGTGGGTTGAAAGGCAACCTGGCCAGATCCCAAGCCAGCATCCAGGTATGACCATGGTTGCTGGGAGGTGAATTTCAGGCATTTTAACATGGCCAAGTCGGTCCTATAGAGACAGAGCTCCAGGTTGGATCATTAAGCTGAGTTTTGCTTCACCAAGAGTTCATGGCTAATACTTGGAAGTACAGATGGTTGGATGGTTGTGTTTTCCTGTCAGGCCACCATTAGAGGCGGTATTTTTTGATCCAGGAACTCTCAGACCAACTGGGATGAATGGACTTGATCCACTCTCAGCTTTTCTTGGAGTAGATCCAGTGAAGTCAATGGGATTCAAGTGTTAAGTCAATTCTACTTGATTTATATATGGCTCTGCCCTCGAGTATGATTCAAGCTGTCTATTCTGTTTATCCCTCAAGATCTAGTGCCACTGAACCACGCTGGGTTTTCTTCTTTGCACGTCATCTTTTGCCCTGTAAGATTTCATCATTCACATGTTCTGCCACTCCTGAATTTTGGACCTGAGTTTTGGGGCAAACTGGTCGAGTTGACCAGAAATATATTGTTCTTTTTGCATTGTCACAATACATGCTGAAAGATGCCAGCCTCTCCCTTTGGCTCTGTGAACTTTTATAGCATTCCGATTTCTGCACTCGTGTCTGAGCCGCTTCCAGCTCAGGTGAGCCCGTGAGGTGTGCTGGCCTCACCTGCCAGGTTAGCATTGCATTTCCCGGCCTGGGGTCTGGCTGAGACTCAGAACGGTTGAAGTAACATCAGTTGTCCTGCTGCTGTTTTTATTGTGGTTTTCAAGCGACTAACCAGTAGGTAAAGGGAGCTGGGTAGGAGTTGGGTTTTGTTTTGTTTTAACACATTGAAAGAAGAAACCATGGCACGAAAAGAAGAAAAAGAAAAAAAAGAAGTAATGAGGAAAGACATATGCTGATTATGCTCTACAGGAAGTCCTTGACTTACAAAAACAGTTGAGCCCAAGACTTCTGTTACTAAGCGAAACGTTGAAGTGAATTTTTCCCCATCTTGCAATCTTTCTTGCCAGTCGCTAAGTGAGTTGCTGCCCGTAACTTAGTAACACGGTCATTAAGCGAATCTGGCTTCCTTACGTTGACTTTGCTTCTCAGAATTTCACATGATCCGGGGACATTACGACCATCATAAATAGGAATCAGTTGCCAAGCATCTGAAATCTGGTCCCAAGACCCACGAGGATGCTGCAACCGTCCTGTGACTTTTTCAGTGACGTCGTAACTTTGAACGGGCACTAAATGAACTCATGAATATGGAGATTATCTGTACATCCTTTGTTCCTATCACTGCACCATAGAGAGTATCTTAACTGACTGCACCTGTGTATGGTTTTGCCCATTGCACAGGGGCAGATAGGAAAGCGCTCCAGAGGGTGAACGTCATTGCCCCTCAGAGGATCCTGGGCTGCTTTCTCCCCTCTTTGGAAGAGCCTTATAGCTCCCGCTGCCTTAAGAAAGTTCAAAACATTCTCAAAGATCCATCTCATCCTGGGAACCCCTTTTTTTTAAACTATTACCATCTGGCAGATGGTACAGAATAATAATAAAAACAAGGACAAATGGGCTGAAAACAGCTTCTATCCCAGGGCAGGAACTCTTTTAAATTCTACTGTGTAGGGCAATATTAATATGATATCAGGGGCTTTCAATTCAATTGTATAGACTGTGAAGGATGTGTGTTTGTGTTTATTTTCACAGTCATGGTCATGATGTGCACTGAAGAAGGTGTTTGATTTTGTTGTATGAGGTGCAATGACAATAAGGTAAACTAAACTAAACTGGTCCTTTGATCTGGAAAATTTTCTCCCTGGTTTGAGGAACAGTTGTAAGGAAACTGCAGTCCTGAACACGCCTACATTTTTCTTGGGAGGGAAGAAAAAAAATTGTGGGATTTGTTCTCGACACCTTCAAGATTCACAAGGAGGTGTAAACTGGTTTGGTTAAGAGGAAGATCCTAATGGTTACCGAAGTATAATTACCCTTGTTGAGTATGGAAAGACTGGGACAGGCACACCCAGAGAGAGAGAGAGAGAGAGAGAGAGAGAGAGAAACAGGGACTAGGTCCTTGCTCAAAAGCTCAAATAAGCACTCAGCTTACCTTATAAATTGGAGCGGAGAGCCCTTTGCTTCCATAGAAGCAGCCAGAAATCCCACAGGTGCTAACTATTCCTTCCAGCGACACAGCCAAGGTAACGTCTTGGCATCACCATCATCAATCCCAACCTTATCCTTTCTAATAAGGGGGAAAAGAGCTTGGCCCTGCCAGGAAAGCATGGAATTTCTCCCTGAATCATCTGTCAAGAGGCGTCAGCTTTGGATGGTGCAGGTTTTATTTTGGGCCTAAGAGAAGATAACGGCGGTTGGATTTTCCAGAAAAGCTCATCGGAATTCTTTTTTCCCTTTTTAAACTTGAAGGTGAGGTTTTCTTTTCCACTTACTTTCATTTCGAATTGATGTTAGCCTTGAACAGGCAGAGCAAGCACCAATGTCCTTCCAATGTAAAGATCAAACTCCTAGAAGAGGGAAACCATTAGCAGCAGCAGCAGCAGCAACAAGTTATTTGCTATGGGAAGGAAGATGAGTAGGAAAGAGACCCTGCAATAACAAGGCAAATCCTTTCCTATCAGCTTATGGATGATGACACGGGGAAGCACTTCAACTTGTATGAAATCCACTTTGTTTTTGCAACGCGACCAGCTTTCATTCCTTTTATCAACCAGCTTTGGAAGTGCCTGTTGATGAACGTTTGGGAACCGAGAGGACATAGCTCATAACCAATGAAACTCATTATTTGTTACACCATCCAGGAAGTGAGATGCAGGATTGTAGTCCTTCGGTATCATCTACAGGTGGCTTTGTTTGTGTAACTTGCTGAATGCAACACGTGAGAAGGGGATTGCAAGGTGGGGGTCTGGAGTTCAGCAAACGGTGAGATTTCTGCGGAAAGAGTTGTGTACGTGTGTGTGTGTGTGTGTGTGTGTGTGTGTGTGTGTGTTAAAGAAAGAAATAAGGCCAACCAGGTATGAAAAAAGACTTGTGGCCACACCCAAGAATTAATGCTATCAGAATCAGTTTCTCCACCTATACCATTCTTAAGAAAGAAAAGAATTGGCACCACATCAGATCTATTCTCTCCTTACAGCCAATTATAGCAGGTTCTTGACAGCATAAAATGCTGCAGGAACATTTCCATCCAAGCTTTGGACCAAAAGCTCGAAGGTCATCATAAGAAGAGGCCATCCAAACCGTCCAGGGATGAATTGGCACCAGAGCACGGCCATTCAGCTGAGCGGGCTGCTGGTCTCCCTCTTTGGTTGGGTCTTGTCCTGCGTTACGACTTACGTGCCTCTCTGGAAGAGCCTCAACTTGGAGTTGAATGACCTTGAAATCTGGAACATGGGGCTTTGGCAGACCTGTGTCAGCCAAGTGGTCATGCAGTGTGAAAACTATGCTTCCCTCCTGGCCCTGCCGTTGGAGATCAAGATCTCCAGGGTTCTGATGGTGACTTCCAACGGACTGGGCTTCCTGGCTTTCTCCTTGGCTCTTCTGGGATCGGACTGCCTGAAGACGAACGACCCAAGACAGAGGGGGCCCTTGGGGATTACGGGCGGCATCCTATTCTGCCTTTCCGGACTGACAACTCTGGTTCCCGTCTCCTGGGTTGCCTACAACACGGTGCAGGATTTTTGGGACCAAACCATACCCGACGTTGTCCCGAGGTGGGAATTCGGTGAAGCCCTTTTCCTGGGCTGGTTTGCTGCCTTTTTCCTCTTGTTGGGGGGCTGCCTGGTAATCGCTGCTGCCTGTTTCCTAAAGACCCCGAAGGCATCCAAGAGGCCGGCAATCTGCCACAAAGCGGAAGTAGACACACTTGCCATCCAGCGTCCCCAGCCACCCCCTAAAAATGCAGACCTTGTCATCTGAGGCACCTTCCTGAGCACCTTGATCTCACCTGGAATGGGACAATGGTTCGACGCGTGGAACATTTAAGAGTTGGGGGCTTAGATTTCTGCAAAGGACGGCTTGGGAAAGCGTCCTGGTTGTGTACCTTGCTCTCCTTAGGTGCAAATTAGAAATATATTATTGAGTATGTGCTGTTCGAGGGTACTTGAGCCTATGTTTACTCTTCCGCAGAAGACAATGCTTTCCCTCCTCCCTGCCCCCACCTTTAATCTTTTTTGGAGAAGAATGACGCAAAAACACCCTGGTTTAAGGATGGAAGGAATGTTGGTCCAGGAGGATAGAATGTCTGCAAAATAAAAATCCATTCAACAAGCATTGTTAGGCTTTAAAAAGCAATTAAGTGCTTACAAGAAATTGGAACTCTCTTACTTGGCGTAAGAGCCAGATCAACAATCTTGAGCAGAGACTTTGCGATACTTGGATAATATTTTCGGAAGTGCAGTGCACAAACCAAGGCATGAGGTGAGTTTCCATGGATGAATTCAGGAGCCAGCCTTGTTTTTGTTCGGCGAACTCTCCTTCTAAATAGTCTTAGCCTTTGATGCTGTCTTAAGGCAACTCTCATCAACAAGGGACACAACAGCTGGATTGTTGTGCCACCGTTTTTGATAGAAAGGTTACGTAGGAAGAGTTTCCAAACTTCAAAACAGTTCTAGAGTCAGCCTTCTGCAATCGAAGGAGACAAGCGCTGGCAGCCCGCCAACCTCTTTGGGGATCACAACCAGAGGGGATGGAGCAATCTATCTATTTACCTCAAATTTAAGGAAATCAAAGGGGTTGTTGGTTTTTGTGTGTGTGAAATAACTGCCACGGGGCAGCATTGCCTTGAGGCTTCAAAATTACTGCTGAAAATTAAGAGAAGTTGTGTGTAGTTTTCAGGGATAGAAACAAAACCACAAATATCTTTAAATAGGGTAATATTTATTGCACTTTGAAACCAGAAATCTCATCAGATTTGTATTTCCCATCACAATTTGTTAGCATTCTAATAAAAACATTTAAAAGATCTTGAGGAAAAAAAAATATAACCATTAAAAGTGTGACTTATTCAGCTTGGTTTTGTCCTGACTTCAGTGCATAAACTACTCTGGTAATTAAACTTCGGTGATTGACATTGAAGAAATTATTTCGGGGAAGGTTCAAGAAGTGGCTTCCAATCTCGGCCTTCTGCTGGTTGTGCTGTTCTCTCCCCCTCCTCCCCCCCCCCCCCCCGGCATAAATGCTAGTGCTTAAACCAGCAGCCAGGGCAACAGCTGTATATCAAGTGGATCCCCCATAAGAATGGCTATCTAGGAGAGCCAAGGGGCTGCTAACACGTGTATTGTCTCGCTGCGAGTAAACCTTGTTTACCATTAAGGCTCCTTCACCCAGAGATACCCTACGTGTTACTTGTCGATGATTTATGCCCGAACTTGCTGTGCTTGGAGGTCAGCGAGGATCAAGGGCCCCTTGCCGGCATCTTCCATGCCGTCCTTGTCACAATTCATCGCCCCACTCATGGAGACCAGCGGTGCCGAATGAAGGGAGATCAGCCTGTGTGGCAGGGGCTGCCTTGAGAAAAATTAACGGGGGTTCAACACCGAATGCTCTCAAGAAGCGCTTTAAAACCATTGGCCAGGTAAAGCGCCAACTTGGCAAAAATGGAATCGTCTATGTACAAGGCTTAAGTGTAAAATGGCAGATTTCTCCTAAAAACACTCCCGGCAAGCTCCTTGCAGGAACTAAAGTCAGTCATTAACAGCGGGGGAGGGAGACTTCGGTGGGTGCTCCGAAATTCGTGCCTGCCTG